CTTCGACAGAGCTCCCTACTGACGCAACTGTAATTTCTCACTTCAAGTGGCTCGGCAATTTGTTTCCAAATGTTCCAGATAGCATCCTGCGGATGCATCCGTTTTACCGTTACCCCCCGAAACAGGAGTCACCCACCGCAAGGCCATTTAATGGGCAGGTAGTAAATATTTTATCCTCAATCCAGAGGAAGCCGAACTCAGCACTCGCCATCTGTAAGGAAATAATGAAGAAGCCATGGCTCACCAAGAAGGACTTCGACGAACTTGTAACGCAAACAGAACGCCTGTGCGGGTATGCATTGGGGAGGATGGCGTTAACATACAGAGAAGCGTACCCTCTGTCTGCCGTTGAAACTCTAGGGACGATTTTTATTGTCTTCGATGCGTTGCACTGTGCAACAGAAGTACTGGGGGACCCCTTGCTGAAGGATGTTTGGTTGCCTCGTTTAGTGCGCCGCATAGAAGGCGTACATTTCACGCCTGTGGGAAAGTACCTTATCACTGGTAAGTCCTTGAGAAATGCAGAGGTTGCGCGCACGCTGAGCGTGGCGCTGGAGTACTATAGAAGAGGCTCCCGCCCTCCAGCTCGAATGGTGATCGGCCTGAAGGAAGCCCTGTTCTGTGGACCTGCCTCATCGAAATTCAATCTAGCACAATGGAACCCATGGAGAGCTGACGCNGAAGACTTTAGAGAGTCCATAGAGTCGAGCCTCGCAGAAAACAAATGATCAGCAAGAAGTTTGACGAGTTAAAGGTGATGACGTGGTCTTCGAATGCGGGAGCACATCCGTCTCAGCGTCCATATCCGGAGCCTGCTTTGCCATGCGGCCCTAACAGCCGACGCCAGGATGCCCAAGACATGCCAACCCCATATTTGAGTCGCATGAGCGTGATGTCGAATATTTGTGGAGCTCACGTGGCTCAAGATGTGTGAGTCGAGTGATGGCAGTACAGGCGCAGCGCCGCTAACGTATCCGTGAGTGGGTGCGGCTGCCCGCCGTAGCCCTCACCAAGCTGTTTCCTCTGAAACGCGTGTTACTGCTGACCTCATGTCTATAACCACTTACTTCTCTAGAGTGAGAGCGAACCAACAGTGAAGGGACGCGCAATGTCTGTCCACCGCCATTGTAGCAGGTAGCATCTGTCTGATATTAGTAATATTAGATGTGTTTCTACTTACGCGTTTGGCTACTGAGGAGCATGGCCGTGCTTAACATACGAGTACACTGTTAGTGCATGCATCAAAAGCTGGGTTGGGTCGTATGCTTGCATATGGTGTTGCC